TGCGGCGAGTCTGAGCTGTCAGTCCCGCTGGCAGCGCTCAGCAGGGGCGGCCCCGAAGGCAGGTCCTGGGCTTTCTCAGCTGCGTTTTAGGTCTACCTGGGAGCTTTTAATAATAGCAGCTCCAGGCCTCCACCCTCTGAGATACTGATGTAACTGGTGTAGCCTGGGACCCAGGCATTTTTCAAACTCCCCAGGTAACACCAATGGGCAACTGCAGCTTGGAACCACTGCACTAGTTTGCAGCCCTGGTCTGCAGTGACCCACTGAGCCCTTTGCGGGTTGAGCCTTGGGTCTAGCCCTGATTTCTTCCAAGCCTGTGTGCAGACTCTGACCTGGGCTTAGGCCTGACAGTCTTAAAGCTTTCTGGCTCCTTGAGGGTAGCAGGGGGGAAGGGAGACCCCAGAGGGTCCTGTTGGTCAGCTCTGAGCCACATCGTTCGCCCGGCCAGCTCTGTCTACAGGGCGTAGCAGAACCTGAGGGCCACTGATTCAGTTCACCCGACCCTCCAAGGAACTGGTGAATTCAGACCAACTCTTGGAGGTAAAAATAGCAGTCATGGAGGATTTTCCGGGTTCCTGCCCCTGGATGCCCTGAGCCCCAGGTGTGACCTTGCTTTGGCCAATGACAAGAATCTGTTTTTGTTTCAGGAAATGAGAGTGGAGGGTGTGGTCTGCAAGCAAGTATTCAAAAAGGTGAACTGAAGCCTGAGCAGACCTGAGTCTTGAGGAATGAGTGGCGTGGACGCGGGGGCCGGGGTCCCCCTCTCTGCACAACATGGGGCAGAGAGATCCAGCCCCCAACTTGACATCTCTTAGCAGAGTCTGTCTCTTGACATTATCCTTTCCTTCTCTTCAAATGAAACCATCCTAATAAAAGTGGTTTCTACCCCCAATGTCTGTTTCAGAGAAGCTTCAAAACCCGACTGTGCTCACATTTTATCTGAAGGCTTCTGATGCTGGCTTCTCCTGAGCAGAAGGAGGAAATTCAGCCAAAGGCCTGCAGCTTTAGCCCTAACATTGCACCTGTGTGATCTCCCCCCAGGGCACAGGCTTGGGTCTGGGATGTATGGCCTGCCATTTAATGGCCCATGTATAAAGTACATACCATGTCACATGTCCGGTCAGGGCAAAGGTGTAGTGAGTACTGCAGAAGTAGGCCAGGTTGCCCTCCACCCTGGGAACTTAGAGCCTTGTTAATGAGATCCAGCCAACAATGACTTCATGACTGCACTTACATGCATACAGGAGATGCTCCTAAAATTGTCAATGAAATGGAACTAAATAGAATTTTAAGCTCAAAGCTTATAGGTGAACCTTAATCAAAGACAATGATCAATTGGATTTGATTTCAGAGTTGTCATAAACACATTCCTCACTGCCCCAAAACCATCCCCACCCCATTTATAGATTGAGCCTTCCTCTTTACTGCATAGATGAGACATAACTTGCCAATCCCCCTGGAAGGGGGAAAGCAGCCTCATGTTCGCACTAAAGTGTAAATGATGGCTAGCGATGCCTTTGCATAAAGAAACAGGGAAGAAAGGGTGAGGGAAGAGGTGGGAGACCATGGGAAGGGAGAACCACTGGGAAAGAGAAGACTCTCGTTGAGGACCCCCTTGTCAGGAGCACTGGGTTAGGAGTCAGATGAGCTGACTTGGAATTCCACAACCGCCACTCGCCGGGCCGCCACACCTGCCTGGACCTCACTGCTCTGGTCAGAAACCCACAGTAATAATCTCCCTCCCTTCCTGCACAGGTGGGTCGTGGACCTTGCTGTGCATATAAAGCTTGTGACTGCCCAGTGCTAGACAGGTGCTCTCAGACTTGGCTAAACCTTAGAACCACCTGGGGAACTTTTTTTTTCCCTTTTTTTTCAATTGACATGTAGTCACTTAACAATGTTGTGTCAATTTCTGCACAGTGTTTCAATCATACATATACATACACTTCTTTACTTTCATATTTTTCATTATAGGTTACTACAAGATATTGAATATAGTTCTCTGTGCTGTACAGTAGAAACTTGTTGTTTATCTATTTTATAGATAGTAGTTAGTATCTACAAATCTTGGGCTCCCAATTTATCCCTTCCCCCTCGTCTTCCCCCCTTGGTAGTCATAAGTTTGTTTTCTATGTCTGTGGGTCTGTTTCTGTTTTGTAAATAAGTTCATTTGTGTCTTTTTTTTAGTTTCCACATATAACTGATACCATATGGTATTTTTCTTACTCTCTCTGGCTTACTTCACTTAGAATGACATTCTCCAAGTCCAACCATGTTGCTGCAAATGACATTACTTTATTTTTTATGGCCAAGTAGTATTCCACTATATAAATATATCACAGCTTCTTTATTCAGTCATCCATCAAAGGACATTTAGGTTGCTTCCATGTCTTGGCTATTGTAAATAGTGTTGCTGTGAACAATGGGATGCATGTATCTTTTTGAATTAGGGTTCCCTCCAGATATATACACCTGGGAAATTTTTCAAATTTCCTGTACCCAGGCCACTTCCCAGGACCAATCACATCAGAAGGTCTCAAGGTGGGACCTGGGCATCAGTTTTTTTTTCAAGCCCCTCAGGTGATTCTAGGATGCACTGGAGCTGAGAGTCACTGCCCTACACCAGTGTTTCTAACTTGGTAATCCAGCCCCTACCCAGGGGCATTTGGCAATGTCTAGAGACATCTTTGATTTCACAACTTGGGAGAGGGGATCTCTCCTGGCACTTAGTTGGGTAGAGGTCAAGGATGCCGCTAAATTTCCTTCATTGCCTAGGACAACTCCCACAACAAAGATTATCCACCCCAAGATGTCAACAGTGACAAAGTTGAGAAACCTTGCCTAGACAAAGGTAAGAAAATTTAATGTTTTTGATTACCGAGATCACTTCCTTAGCCTAGCCAAAGAAATGAGAACCCAGAATGGTCTAAGATCCTGGAGACCCCTTCAGGGGTCTTTGTCCCTGAGGGCAGAGAACTCAAAGGCAAAGATTCTTATAAAGGCCATCCATTCATCACACAAATGTTTTGTTTTGTTAATTGAAGTACAGTCAGTTTACAATGTGTCAATTTCTAGTGTACAGCATAATATTTCAGTCATACATATACACATATTTGTCTTCATATTCTTTTTCATTATAGGTTTCTACAAGATATTGAATGTAGTTTCCTGTGCTATACAGAAGTAACTTGTTTATCTGTTTTATATACAGTAGTTAATATTTGCAAATCTCAAACTCCCAATTTATCCCTTCCGACCCTCTTTTCCCCCAGGAACCATAAGTTTGTTTACTATGTCTATGAGTCTGTTTCTGTTGTTTTGTGGATGAGTTCATTAGTGTCTTCTTTTTTTGTTTTCTAGATTCCACATACAAGTGACCTCATATGGTATTTTCTTTTCTTTCTGGCTTACTTGACTTAGAATGACAATCTCTAGGTCCATCCATTTTGCTGCAAATGGCATTATTTTATTCTTTTTTATGGCTGAGTAGTATTCCGTTGTGTAAATATACCACAACTTCTTTACCAGTCATCTGTCAATGGACATTTAGGTTGCTTCCATAACTTGGCTATTGTGTATATTGCTGGTATGAACATTGCGGTGCATGTATCTTTCCAAATTAGAGTTTCCTCTAGATATATGCCCAGGAGTGAGATTGCTGGATGGTAAGTCTATTTTTAGTTTTTTGAGGAATCTGCATACTGTCCTCCATAATGGCTGCACCAAACTAACTACATTCCCACCAACAGTGTAGGAGGGTTCCCTTTTCTCCACACCCTCTCCAGCATTTATCATTTGTGGACTTTTGAATGATGACTGTTCTGACTGGTATGAGGTGATACCTCATTATAGTTTTGATTTGCATTTCTTTGATAATTAGCAATATTGAGCATTTTTTTCATGTGCCTATTGGCCATTTGTATGTCTTTGTTGGAGAATTGCTTGTTTAGGTCTTCTTCCCATTTTTGGATTGGGTTATTTGCTTTTTGTTATTAAGTTGTATGAGCTGTTTGTATATTCTGAAAATTAAACCTTTGTCAGTCACATCATTTGCAAATAATTTCTCCCATTCCATAGGTTGTGGTTTTGTTTGCTTATAATTTCCTTTGCTGTCATCACATGAATGTTTAATGAGGTCCTATTATGCGCCAGGCACTGAGCGAGCACCACACCTGTTGGGCATCCAGGCATTTCCCCTCCCATCCCAGGCATGGAGACCCCATCAGACTCCCAATACATAAATGCCTCACCCAATAGTTAGGTTCTGGTGGGGGTCTCACTGATGTTGTTGCAGGAAAATGGGGAGGATCTCAGCTGAGTCCATAGGACACGCCCCACCAAATGAGGGTCCTTGGCTTTGCCCAAAAAAGCCAGCCATAGTAAAGTGAAAGCAAGTTTATTTAGAAAGATACACATCCCATGGACAGAATTCAGTCTATCTCAGAAGGGAGAGCAGCTCTGGAGTGCGGGGCTGGTTAGTTTTTATGGACTGGGTAATTTCAGATGCTAGCAAGTGGGGAGATTATTCCAACTGTTTTGGGGAATGGGTGGGGATTTCCAGGAATTGAGCCACCACCCACATTTTGGCCTTTTATGGCCAGCCTCAGAACTGCCATGCAACTTTGGGTATGTCCTTTAGCATGCTAATGTATCACAATGAGTCTATGATGAGACCCAAGGTCTACTGGAAGTTGAATCTTCCGCCATCTTGGGCTTAGTAGGTTCTAATCAGTATGTATCCTATCCTCAATGACTGTGTCATTCTTTTAAGGGCTATGCCCTCCCCTCTTCCCTCCTGTCTCAGTGTAGCCCTGTTGTGTGAGTGTGCGTGTGATATGGGGGTTATGGCCCCACCCTTGGGAGACTCTGGTCCTCTGAGTAGACTCAGCCCCACTCTGATTGAATAGCTTGAGTACCAGGACCTATTTGAGAGGACAGTGGGAGCCATAGGAGGTTTTAGAGCAGGAGAGTGGCACGATCAGCATTTCAACAGACCTAATCTGGCAATCATTCTCTCCACAGTAAGACGAGAAAAGGCAAGGAATACCAGCTGAAGTTTAGCACAGGGCAGTGACACTTAATTGAAACTTGCTTCCTGTGAGGTTAGTCTTCCCAAAGCAGTCCATGTAAAGCGCGAGGGATGGTTCTTACTGTACGTAAGTCTGTAACCACAGAAGCAGGCTTGGGGCTTTAACGCTGCTTTCCGTGTTCTCAGTACAGTCTCCAATAGCTTGCAGAGGGCTTGCTCTAAATCGGCAGCAGCATGTGTCGCAGTGCTTGTCCAGACCTCTGTGAAGCGTTTTAGCACCTCTCGCCCCCAGTCCAAGGTGACTGATGTGGGCTTCATTTTTGGAACATTGCCACAAGCTCCACCACTTAACTGACACTGGGCTGCTGTTGTTACGGGATATAAAAAGATTTTTAATTCTAACAGCAATGACTGATAACGGGGCACTAGTAATGGAGTCACGCACTGAATTTCCAAAGCATGGCAACAATACTGTGGTGCCCACAGAACTACAAGGGAGCACGCTTGTCTATTTACCAGCTCACTTGGTGCCCCGAGGCTGTGGACATAGTGTCACCCCATCTCGCACTTCCCTGGCTGGCAACTTGGAAAAATTTGAGATTTTTTTTTCAAACCGGAGGGTTACAGTATTTCAAAAGATATTCTAAGTGAGACGTTATTAATATATTTATATCACAAGACTTCAAATATTCAAAAACTAGGACTGTCACGTGTAGCAACTCAGGCAGGTCGTGCTGAGGCCCAGCATCAGGCCATGACAGGCCTTCGCCGAGAAGGCAGCGGGGTGAAGTGACTGAGCGGCCAAGCTCTGGTCACATGGCCTCAGTTCGAATCCCATTTCTGCTACTTCCTAGCTCTGTGAG